AGTTAACATTAATCCAAGATATAACAGAAGTGCATTTTATCAACTAATAATTTAAAAAGATACATACATGTAGTAACATAATTCTGTATGATTTATTAAAGAATTACACAGTCACATTGAGATGCTTACCAGGCTTCCTTCTTATTTCATTATATTTAGCAAATATTTTCATTTTAATCTCTTTCTCATTGAACTCATATGGTGGTGGTTGTGGTTCTGCTAATGTTTCATCCTCTGCTTGAGATTCACCAGCATCACTATCCGCCAAGTTCTCTTGTGATCCATGCTTCTTTCTTCTTCGTTTTCGCTTTCTTATTGCGTCCTGTCATAAAAAGGAAGAATGTCATCAGCACATACTTTAAACTGAATTCATTTTTGCCTGGAGACAAACTTTCGTAAGTTTCTCAAGTCAGTGAAAAACACTAAACTTTGTAGTAGTGAAAATGTTGGTTTACATAGTACCGGTATACACATACATGTATGCTTAGAATAAATCAATACCAGAATACATGTCAAGACCACACATATACAATGACAGCAGTAGTGAAGCAATAACTTAAGGCACAGTTTTGGGTGTACCGGTAACTTCCAAGCTGTATTTGCCTTTTCATCAAAACTAATAATTTTTAACAAATTTTTAATATCACAAAGAACAGGTTGAATACAGGGAGTATTATTGTTTTCAATAATTTCAACCTGTTCTTTGTGATATTCGCCCATGTCAACAATGAGACATTTAGTCAGATTACTTCATTCAATCTAGATATATAGCAGTTTTGAAAACAAGTTCAGACTGTACTGTACTGTAGTATGGTTAATTTGTATGCATAATGCGTACCTTCATTTTTATATGTCTATCATACTCATCCTTGGCTAGTTTATACTGCTTCATTTGATGGTTGTATTCCTGTTCATATTCTACTCTCAATTCATCTAATTCATCTTCTATCTCTTTATTCCGTTCAGCTATATCATCATCTTTAATGGAATCCTCCCTAAAAATATAAATAATATAATTCAAGAAAATAATCAATAATAATCATTGCATTTTTTTTATATTTGCAAGGAGATAAAATCATTGTCTGAAGTATAGCCTTTTACAAGAAGTCCCTACAATCAATCCTTAAAAAAACAAATACAGGGGTAATATAAAAAGATGTTAACACAATGTATTTCCTGAATTCCAATTCATGTTGTCACCATCATTATGTAAATAAAATGAGTTAAGATAGACGATAATTTTTGAGAAAGTCATAAGTCGCATGACAATGTTCATTGGTTTATTATGTATAATCATGGACTTGAGCTATTGTCCCATGGCACCATAAAATACATGTAGCATGCTTTTGTGTGTTACAGTATTTTGAGAAACTTAAACCTAAATTTTTTTTAAATTGTTATTTTTAGAACAATTCCATAGAATACAAATGAAAATTTGTATTTTTTGACTTTTTAAAACCCAGATTTTTGAAATACCGGTAATGCAGGACAACAATTCATGAGTAGGCTTCTATTTTAAGTACTACGATATACATGTAGTCTTTCATTCATAGTAAAGCAGAGTTTGTAAATAACATGCAGAATCACACTGCCCTCAATAACCTCTTTCACAACCACATCTACTTTAAAATTTGCTTGCAATTAGATAACATTTTAAAGCATTTCAAATTTCTAATAAATAAAACATTAACACTTATAGATTGTCATCAAACATTTTTAGTTTCAATCCAAACCTATTAAGAACTGCACTATGATGATGGTTTGGCTCTGACTTACTTTCTGACAGTTAATTTACATGGTGTGTTGACACATCCTTGTGATTCTCGTAATGCTTTCATTTCCTTCCATGTTTTCAATATGTTTTTAAGAAGTTGTCTGTCATTCTGCAATTCACTGTCTCTCAACTTCCTGATTTGTCTGCAATCAATATTGATACATCAGTAAGAGTATGAGAATATAATATATCACAAGAATACCGCAAAGTATGTGAGAAAGAAGTACAGCAATACTATTACTATACATATCTTTTCATCTTTCATCTTTTTGTTGTAATAATTATTATAATAATGAATTTTCTTTGGGGCAGAACTACGTCACCGAATGTTCTATTTATTTCTATGGGCTCTGCATGAACTGCTGTGGAACACTAATGTAAGAGCTGATGAAAACAGCTACTAAAGTTGAGGAAACAGACCAAACTCAACTTTGAATATTCCTGAGCAACCAAATTTATATATGTTTCACATGTAGGGGGGGGGGGGTAATCTTGTTGCACTGTTCAGGGAAGTCTCAAGTACTATCCCAAAGTACAGTTTTTCTGAGAGTTTACGGCTTTTGTTTTCACCGTGATGGTTGCTCAGATGTCCGCCTCGGAGAATAGCCCAAAAAAGGTAATTAAAAACACACAAAGTGACAGGATTCTATGCTTTTTTTGTCCAATGTAAAAACAAGCAGCCTCTCGGCTGAGATAGCTTCGCTATTAGCGATGCACATTTCAATTAAAGAACAGAAGACATCATTAGAAAATGAACAATATGCATAGTATCAATGCAACGGAACTTGCTGTTTTCAACAAGAATTCAAAAATATCATTTTTCACCATAAATGATTGT